TTGTTTTTACTTTCATTTTATTACAGGTTTTCTTTACTCAAAGCATTTTGAATGCAATCTGCCTGTAAAGACGAACACTTTCTGCTGCATTTAAGGTATGTGTATATATGCAATCAAAGCTGCATCTTGAATTTGTATTCATGCAATTCAGGTAACATTAACTTGGTTAATGTTACTGCAAAGAAATGTGTAGCCATAGCAGCAGAGAATTTGATGCAGGCTGCAAAACCTTACTGAAAAATTAGTGAATAATGCAGCTTTCTGTGCTGCAGTGAGCTCTGCACTGTCTTGGATATGCTGCTCTGTGTATTTGAACTTAAGTAGCTTGAAATAAACGTGCAAGCTGTAAATATTCCTTGACTGTTGTTGTAAATAATTGATAAACTCAGATCAGCCATAGCTATTAGCTGCTTGAAATAATCTTCTAATGTGCAAAATCCCAATCATTGAAAATTAAGTGCTTTCTTCTGCTTCCTAAAAAAATAAAAGAGGTCCTCTATTAGTACAACATTAAAACTATACCAATATTCTACTTGTGTCATACAGTGCTCTGAATGGGAATTACAGCAAAAGAGTACACCATAATATCTCATGTAGTCTATGGCCCTTTGCAGTTAAAGCAAATTGTAACCTTTACAGGTAGTTTTGTACAGAGATGTATTTAGTTGTTAATTTAAAAATACAAAGCACTGTGAATGGGAACAAAACATACCAATCTTATCTATGTCAATTAAAATCTAGCGTATATTATTTGCATTCTAAAGGTGTTAGAACGTTTCCAAGATTCAGCAATTCCAAATGTATATTATTGATGTTAGTTATGCAGTAAGACTTTTTCTCCACAAGAAATAATCTGACTCGATGGGCCCTGTCACAAGCATTAACAATAAAACTGGTAATTCTGATCACAAAAATAGAGCAGATTTAAACTTGACAAAACCTACATACCATGTTAGAAAGAGGCTATCTATTCAATAAAAGAAGAGTAGGACTGAAAATAAAATATCACACCTAATAGGCTACCCTGGGATGTAGCATGAGAACCACTACCCCTTTGTAATCAGAAGTATCAGCTGAACACCACCAGAGCTTTCTGGGGAGCTCAACAGATCATGAAGAGAAAAATGGCCCACCAATACCTAGCATTTCATTAAATTTACTGTTCTTCTTTTTTTCTTAAGCAGTCCATTTAGTTAAAGGAAACTCTAAGGCATGGAGCCACTGATCTCTAGTTTCCTGTCCTGGTTTCACGTGTGATACAGTTAATTTTCTTCCCAGTAGCTTGTACAGTGCTCTGTTTTGCACTGAGTATAAGAACGATGAAAGAAAATTCAGGGAGAAAAAAACTCTGAGACAATTTAGTTTCAAAAGTGAGATAAGGAAAGGGTTTTAATTAGTGCCTATGAGACATAAGATTACAAGATGCACGCACCCCCGTGTCTCAGATGTTACAATTTAAAATACTGCTTGTCCAATCCGAGGTTTTCCCACCCTGTGGCTTTTGCCCTGGACCACCCTCAGTCACGCCCCTTGGGAATTGGGGCTGGGGTCTCTAAGACCACCTCTTGATCAATCTTCATCTTCTTTGGGGTACAGGGGGCATATATTCACCCGGTTCTTGACTGTACTCTTGTGGTTTAGGCCAAGGTACAAGCATTCTCCAAACAGAACAGGCCTATCTTAAAGAGAGATTAAACATTTCTACTGGAATTGATATGAGGAGCATGGAATGGGGTAATAGGGTTGAAAATCTATGTTGCTTCTGTGCTAAGGGTAAGGGAATAAGGGTTGCTGCTTCTAAATCTACTTCTGCTATGTAACTACTTATAAAGCTTATAAAAATTAGAAAAATCAAAAAACTAGATGGACCTTAAGGCATCAACTTTGATAACTCACTGATGTTTCAGTTGTTGCTCAGTAGAGCTTACTCTAAGTCAAGGACTTTTCAGGTTCCCATGCTCTGCCAATGAGCGCGGCACAAGAAGCTGGCAGTGAGTATAGCCAGGACAGCCGACCTGAACTGGCCAAAGGGATATTCCATACCATATGGCGTCAGGCTCAGCATATAAACTGGGGAAGTTGGTTGGGAGCCACTAATCTCTGCTGAGGGACCGGCTGGGCATCAGTCCACAGTGGCAAGCAATTGTGTTGGGCATCACTTTTTTCTCTTATGTTTTATTCCTCTTCTTCCCTCTCCTTTTCATTACTATTACTTATTTGAATTATTAAATTGTTCTTTTCTCAATCCATGGGTTTTACCTTTTTCTGATTCTCCTCCCCATCCCACCAGAGAGGATAGAGCGATTGGCTGCGTGGTACTTAGTTGCCTGCTGGGGTTATAACACCATCTATGCTTGGGTCTGATTTGGAGTCCACTTTTTAAGGGAAATATCTTTAAACACTGAGCCAGAATTTATTAATTTGGTTTGTTTGTGTTTTGAAGCAGAGGAGATTAGTTAGAATTTGATGGTATTTCCCCAAAAGAGATTGCTACACTCTGAACAATTCAGATGACAGACATTTCAAGTCATAGCTTGTACTTCTTTTAGACTGTATGATGAATCCTAGGTATGAATCTGTAGTGTGCACTAGTAAAGTATATCTACTATAAGTGGATCTGTTAGTCTCAGAGGAACAAACAGTAACCAAACCAGTTACCAGTTAGCCCAAACAGCCAAAACCAGTACAGAAGCAAAGAAGGAAAGTGCTTGAATTGCTGCTGCTTAAGGACTTTCAGCAATCTCTGCATATTTTAATCTCAGAGTAAGTCAGTGGCTTTTTTCATGATAGAAATTTAGCATCCATTTGAAGTTCTAGGCTGGGAAAAACATAGCAAATTGACAAAAGACCAAGCCAATATTTCTGTCTAATAACATATCCTAATTTTTCTGAAGTGAGTTGAAATCACAGACTTCTTGCTTACACAGTGTCTGTGTAATAAACCATTATATATAGTATTGATCACTTATTATACACATATAGATAGAAAGAATAGGTTATTTCATATGTATCTATATCAGATATGAAGTGCAAGAAAAAATGATATAGAAGATAATACTGAAAAGCCCCTGATATCATACATTGCTCAACTCAGAAACAGAAAATTTTATCATTATAATTCTTGCCTTGACTGGCCACATCATTAACTTCAGTAACGTTATTACTGACATTATTATTATTATCCAAAAATTTACTTTGACACTTGGGGTCTAGTATTCATTCCAGACAGTATGTAACATTAATGACCATATATTTCTATTAAAATGCAAAAGAAAGGCCTTGATAAATGAACTCACCATAATCTATATCAGGTTTAGTCCTCTGTTTGGGTCAACACAGGAAGATGTAACATAGGTATTGTGACAAGTGTCAGGAAATGTTGACAGATATGTTGACAAGTGTCAACATACTAATGATTTCCTTAAAAACAAACTCAGAGTTGTACTGCCCTGTTCCTGAACTAACAGGACAGGTGAAAGAAAATCTGTATTAATTTTGAAATGTCTTAGAATTAGATAAAATACTCTATGCAAAAACTAACTTTGGTAAAAAAATCAAAAAATCCAAAAGTATACTTTTACTCTTCTCTCCAAATCAAATATCTGGACTTCCGACTTTAGCACCAAATTATATCCATCTGAAGCACAAATCAGCTCATGGGTCAGACTAAGATTTTGCAGCATTAAAATCTTGGGAGGGGGGTGGTGTTAATTTTTGGTTTTTTGTTTTTTAATTTGAAACATAAAACATGGCCATAATGTTTTTCCAAAGGAAGTCAGTTTGAAGACTGGAAACTGTACTGTCTGTCCAGACAGCTAGCTAGATGGAATGTGTTGATAAGAAGAAATATATAATTGTTCTTACAAGCAGAAACACTTACAGGACAAATTCAGATGTGCTCTGTAGTCATTATTCAACTATCAATATGCTATGTGCTAGACAAGTACCTGTCAAATATACTTGATTCCTCTTTGATCAAATTCCTTTAAGCGAATAAATTACCTTTAAACTGCCATTCCAGCTCTGTTTTCTTCAATTTTGTGTTTAATAAGTTTCCTGGGTTTTTTTGGTTTTCGTTGCTTTTTTTTTGCTACAGACACTTAAAGAAATAAACACTTAAATATGAGGTGTAATTAATATAATCAATTTTATGGTATCTGCTTTATAAATCCACAGTGCATTTAAATATCAAAGGATAATGCATTCAAAGGATAATGCATTCTGCTTTAAAAACTAAGAAAGAATTTTTTTTCCTGTAAGTTTAAATTGAAATTTTTCTTTACAGAGGTACCACAGATATAAACTTCTTCCTGAGACCACTAGTTATGAACCACTGAGAACTGTCACTCTGGACTCTTTAAGCACATAGCTAATATAATAATATTCTGTTGACTATCTACCAAACAAAGCTAACAAGCATGCACACCTTGATTGTAACTTGGCACGTATGAGCAAGTCCTACTGACTATTGTGAGATAGTTTAGGAGCTTAAGAATAAACATTTACTATTATTTTGTTGATACAGCATCTCTTTTGAATTATACTGGTAAACGATGGCTTAAACCACTCCAACTATAGTATCAAGAAAACCAAGACAAACAAACACAGAATGAATGCAAAAAGTTCTCCAATTTGGTATATACTATAAACACTCAGTAATATTTAAAATATTTGTCATCTCTATTTTGTATTACACTTCCATAATCTCTTAAAAAATCCTTGCATAATTCTTAAGGATTATAAAAGTACTACATTTAAAAACATAATCAAATTTTAAATAAATAAATCCCCCACAAAAGATAGAAGAGCTTTGCAAAGTAATCAGTAAGTATAGTTTCAGTATGTAATATTCAGACGATTTTTAATAAGCAAGTTCCAATATGGTTAAGTACTCCATTAATGTACAAAACTGAAAAAAACCCACAGCAATCTTGAAAGCACAGATCAACTACATAAGCCAAGCTAAGAAGTGCATGCAATTCAAGAATATGGTTCATTACCATGGTTACAAGCTTTCAGAACAGGTCGCTGTGTGGTTGGGCTGAAATTTTGTGGTATATCTGCAAAAGCAAGGAAACAATGGAAATAAAACACCTCTTTGAAAGCTACTGGAGTATTGTAACATTAACATTACTAAGCAGAAGTAACATTACCAATTAGAAGTCAGGTATTTCTAGGAATAAATGACAGTTATATACCATAGAAATAATTTGACTCACTTATGCAGCAAGACAACTTTTAATTCCCCCATACAACTATAAACCCTAAAAAGCTAAAGTACATGTGGCTGTATTGAAAAGTCTTGTCACAATGATCAGGCTAATAAGTTCAGTACATTCATTTCCAGTGTTACTGACACCAGCAACAGTAACATCCCTGAAACATCCCTGAAAACTGGCATTGCAAGAACGAATTAAACCCGGCAGTATTTAAATTCTAGAGCACTGGACCCATAGTGCTTTTAAGTTTCTCTGGAAAATAAAATCTAAGATAGACTATTCACCTTTAGACCTTGGTGTCCTTTTCCTTCGGTCTCGAAAAGCTGCACCTGATTGCAAGGCCTCCAACAAGCTATCCATCACTCCAGTCTCCTCACCTTCTGTAATGGAGAGAGAAGGAACCCTCTGGGTTACCATAGCAATATCGAAGCATAAAGAGTAATAACAATAAAAAGCAACAATAACAGGTAGCAATGGTATTATAGAAAATATTTATTTCAAACTTCAACTAGTGTTTTAATATTGACAAATTGCTCTCTTGCAATTAATCACAATAGATTTGATCTTCTATAGATTGAACTATGCCAAATTTTATTCCATTCATTTCACATTCTTCTTTCTCTATACTCAGAGTCAAGCATAGTTTTAAGTGAAATGTCATTTCACTCGTATTTTCATTTCACTGACTTTATACAACTGCAAATAATCAGTCTGATGTTAGCTTTCAAGAGCTGTCCCTTAAATGATTTGCTACATTAGACAAAAGATCATTTCAGTTATTGTTATAAAGAGTTGAAATTGTTTCTCAGCAGGAAGCTGAGTGAACAATATTGGACTGGATAGTATACAGTGATATCCATAGGTAGCTTTAATCAAAAGCCATTTTCTGCTCACATTTAATAACCTCTGGCTGATATTAAATAATTGATGTAGTTCAGGAAAATTCTACTCATCAAATTACATAAGTATCATGTGTAATAATACACACATCTATAATAATTCCCAAAAGAATTATGAATATTATTGTGAGATGGTAACCAAATGCAAGCATTAAACACCCTCTTTTTATTTCCTCAAATAAACACATCAGAAAATGTTAGCTTTTTGAACTTGTTACCCTGTTGCATGTATGCATGGGAGGACAAAGAACAGAACTCCAGGGATTGACTATATGATGAAAAATCTCCATAGAGGAATAAAGAATTACATAATAGAAATCTCATTATGCCCCACTGGGCAAAACTCCCTAAGTCAAGGAGTTGGCCACATCACATGATTCTGCAGTCATTGCTAATAGTGAATTATGCAAATCAGGATCTAAACTACCTAGTATATACAACAAGATGCTGAGTAGAGAGGGACAATCACTTTCCCAGTACTGCCAGTCACATTATTTCTGATATAAACCATTGGCCTTCTTGGTCACCTGGGCAATACTGCTGGCTCATGTTCATCTGGCTGTTGATCAGCACTCCCATGTCCTTTTCCGACGGGCAGCATTGCAGCCACTCTGCCCCCAGCCTGTAGCACTGCAGGGGGTTGTTGTGACCAAAGTGCAGGATCTGGCACTTGGCCTTATTGAACCTCATACAACTGGTCCCAGCCCATTGATCCAGCCTGCCCAGATCCCTCTGCAGAGCATTCCTACCCTCCAGCAGATCAACACTGTCGCCCAACTTGGTGTAATCTGCAAACTGACTGAGGGTGCACTCGATTCCTTCATCCATATCATTCACTGATAAAGATAACAAACAGGACTGGCCCCAACACTGAGCCCTGGGAACACCACTAATGCCCGGCCTGCAAATGGATGTAACTCTATTCACCACCACTCTTTGGGTTCAGGCATCCAGCCAGTTTTTTACCCAGAGAACAGTAACCCTTAGTTCTTCTCTTTTCTTTATATTCTGTACTACCAGACTAGTTTTCAACCTTACACAAAAGAGCCATACACGAAAAGAAAAGTGAAAAACAGCAAATATTTCATAATTTTGCCTAACATTTATATATCTGGTAGGTATAGAATAAACATGAAGGCTGAAATATAGTTTGTTTTTTTTCCTTCTGCTTTGTGTTTGGTATAACATGCTTTATTAAGTTCAAGTTTGCCCTCTTATGACTAATGGACTATCACAGCTATTAGTATAGTTTGGAATGCACCTTACCAAAAAAAAAAAAAAAAAGTATCACTCAGACAGCCTTCAGCTTCCTATTTGTTTGTTTGGGGTGGGTTTTTCATTGTGGCAGTTTTTTTCTTGTTGGTTTGTTGGGGATTTTTCTGTTTCTTTTTTTAACTTTCCTTTTTCCATCTGATGTCATGCAATTCTCTAAAATACTAATGTCTGGAATGAAAACACTCAGTGAATAGTTTCAAACCAAAGCGATGCTGGACAAAATTTTGAGAGCAAGCCATTAGTTACATTAAGGTACATGAATGCTGGAGGAAAGCTTATAAGCATTTTGGGTTATAGCAATTCAAAAAACATTGAATAGTATCACGGTCTCCAAAATTATACCATTAATGTTTATGGAAAAGAGTTTCCAAGCTTTGTTTTAGGAAGGAGGAATATCAGGAGAAAATTTTCAATCCTATTTCAGTATGTCATCTCTTTCCTTTCAAGCCTGTCCAAGACTACTATGGATTTCATAGTTGTTTTAAAAACTTAACTATCTCCAGTAGAAAAAGAAATCCTGGTGCATAATCTGCTATACTGTAAAAAGGCTCATCAAATAAATAAAAAAAAAATATTTAAAATAATGGATGAGAAATATTGCAAAACCACAATTTCTTGTAGCATAGCTGTAACATTTATGGGTACTATCTGGTTTTCATACTTATCTGAAATATGCTGTAGTCACAAAGTGGATTATAGATTAGTGCTTCCATTGACATGCAAAATAGCTCACAGAAGAAAAAATGAGTAGATTGAAACTTGAATTAAAAAACTCTGGTAGTTTTCCTGTGTACATGGATGTATTGAAAAAAGCTAACCACTGCAAATAAAAGCATTCATAGTTAATACTCTTTGTACCCAAAACATGTAGAAAGCCTGTTTTTCAAACTCCTACAACTTCAGTAGGCTCCAAATTCTCTTTTTACATGCCTGCATCAGCAGCTGACTTTGACACTTTCTATCAAGTTATGCAGTTAGCTATTAGTACCCACACTATAATATTGTCCAAGTTTATATAATAAGAAGATTAAGAAATGAAAGTCTACCACGAATATTTTAGAAATCTTTTAAATTGCCATGGAAAAGCTGCATACAACATTGTTACAGTGATAGCATAAGAGTCACAAATATTGTTCGATATTGACACTTCCTATGGGACCTTTAAATCAGCTTTCACAAGCTGCTGCAGGCTGCTGTCACCAGTCCCAACTGGCTTCCTAATTAGTCAAGTGTATCAATCTTTTGATATCATAGAACTAGTAATTCTAGTAGTCTTGCAGATAGCTACATAGCCAACAGTAATTCCTTTGAGGAAATATACCCTTTTATGATTTAAATGATCTCTTTTCCTTCAATTGCAGAATGGGAGATTTAAATACTTTTTAATATCATACCTAATTAAACCCCATACAACTGTCTTTTAAATACCATCTAAGGGAGAAGTAAACTTCCCAAAGTAGATGGTAAGTTTTGCCCTTGACATTTCAGTGCCAAGTCAGATATAAACTACCTAATTTCATAATTATGTCTTGAAAAATGTTAAGAATATTAAAGACCGTTCTCCTCTTGTGCATTGAGCATCATAAGCTTTACATGTACAACTATAATGTCTTATAATGATAGCAGCAGATATTGCAGTTAGTAATGACACCTGCATTTTATGTACTTCTTAAGAAACAAATTATATATACCATAATTCCAGGAGCAGTAGCCCACTGACATGATAGAGTCACAAATATCATTAGCAATATGATTTAAAAAAAAAAAAAGAGTGCTGCAACAAGATAATTTTGAATGAAAAAATTTTCATTTTTACAGTTTCCCTGAACCTGTCCAATATAAACTAAAGCATCACACAACACTAGGACTCCATAAGTTCAGTTTACTAGGAGTAAAACATAAAATAATATGTCTATTTCCTCTTTCACAGAATCAAAGCTTTATTCAGCTACTCCTCTCACAAAAGAAAATACTGAGGCATTTCAGAAAAACCAAACCAGGGATTCTTTAGCATGGTTTCTGTTGATGTTGCCTACTCAGTCTGTACACTTAAGAGATTTATCTACAAGAACTTTGACTACTATCTTCCACCAGCCTCTATTTCTGGCATTGCAATTACATACAGCTTTTTGTTACATGGTAATGAAAAAGATAATCTCCTACAGATGAACAGCCTCATCTGAAAATAAAACTGCACAATTTGGACAAATTAAAAAGAGACCTTACAGATTTCATAGCTGTAACAAAAGGAAAAAGTTGCAAAACCCCAAGGGCTACTCCTGAAGTCATTCAGAGTAGCAAAGACTTTAAATACCTTTATATCATTTTTGACGTAACTGTGTGGCAGCACCCAAGTTTTTATATAATTTAATAACAAACTTGGAGTGCTGAAGCTATTGGATTTGTTTCCCTTATCTGAAGATTTAAGTCCTGATCTCTCAATTCAGCAAGTACCAGAATTAGTACTTTTTATTCTTGTTTCCTAGAATACAAACTACTTTTTTTTCCCTCTTCAGCTCAGGACAATGTTCAGGTTGGATATACTGTATCCAGTATACTGAAGTGAAATGTAAGCCCTTTGCAGCCTTCTCCCAGGTTTAGTTACATCATGTCTTGTGCATTAATGTTCAAAAATTTCAGAGGCACATGATTACCAAGCTTGGGACAATGATAGCAGAGATTTTTCCAGACTATTATTCACACAAGTAAGGAAAAAAAGAAAGATATATCTTTTACTTTTTTAATGTTGTATCTTTACTTTCAAGACATCATGGAAGTCTTTTATGTTTGTTTGTATACGGACTGATTTCACTTAGTACAGCCTACAAAGCAATGCTCAGCTGAAGATAGAAGATCTCCATCTGAGTAAAAACTGAAGGACCATTCTCTAAACAATGTCACATTAACCATGCTGTAATGTTGAATGGGTTAGGCTTCAGGAAGCAGAACAGCAGATCACAGAGAGGAAGATAATTCAAGCCCTCAATGCAGTGGTGAGCTCCAATGTTTTGGATGTGGTTTCATCTTTTCAGTCAGAGTCTAAGGCAGTCAGATTTTGTGAAGTATTCATAGTGCAGACATGTAACAACTTCTAGACCTTGCAGCCTTACATATGAACAGGGTAGGACACTTTCTGAAGGCTTTTACATTGTAAACATAAAAATAAAAAGCAATCTTAATGTTTCAAAATGTTCAGCAATGACGAC